TATGAAACAGTTATTCTCATGTTGAACCAATGTTGAGATCATATGGTGTTTCCATTTGTTGATCCAAGATGAAGTTTGACTTCTTCAATCCCAAGGTTAGAAGTGAAATATAATGAAGATTTCTTTCCACAAAAGGGGAGTTAAAATTTTAACAACAAGAAATTAGTGGAGCCAACTAAGATTGAACGATAGGTTGTTGTTAAACATCTCGACATGATATGGTCCAAGTTGCCTTGTTCAAGATCTGATTAGATATTGGACATGAAAAGGAATTAGGATAAATCCTCCTTGTGATGTGTTTCAAGAGTCAAATTAGAACAGATGCTGCTCTCCTAATTAATCTCTGTTGAGTTTAGCATATCTACATCTACATTCTTCAAAGATGATAGATTCTCTTTTCAAAGATGAAAGTTTTATTGGATTTCTACACAAGTCCAGGTGAAGAAAGTTGATTTTATCCCAGACAAAATGGGGCATCAAGGTCATAACTTTGATTACGGCAAGAGTTTCATAAATGAAACATTTTCTTCTGAGACTTTAATGAAAATGAAGCAAAGAAGACACAAAGATTGCTCTCCCAAAAAAAGAGAATGCCAGCTTGGAATGACATTTTGATTAAGTGAAGGAAGACCGAGTTTGCCACTTTGAAGTCAAATGAAGGACTCAACATTCATGCATTCATAAGAACATCATTTGCATAATAGAAAATGCATTTCATTGCTACATTTAATTGCATTCAAACATAAGGTTTTTACAGATCTTCGTATGTAAAAGAAGATTCATGATGCAAAATATCTTACAAGAAGAATGTAGAATTTAAAACCTCAAATGCAGGAATCACGTAAACATCTGAAGAATAGATGGTCGCAATCCACAGAAGAAGCATTATTTTGAAATGGGGCATGTTACACAATCAACAAGTTATTTTGAAAAATGAGAAAACGATTTCCAAAGTTTCTCATTTAATCTTTTATGAAAATGAAATTGTTGAATAGTAAGAAAACGATTTCCAAAGTTTCTTACTTAGTAAACTATTTCCCACATCCATAAGACATACAGTTCAGGATGTTTTCAAAAAGCCTTCGGGAGCTTTTTGATATTTTAAGCCTCCGAAACATCTGTAAGACCTACAGTGCAAGATGATAAGACCTCAGGGCTATCCATAAGACCTACATTGTAGGATGTTTTCAAAAAGCCTTCGGGAGCTTTTTGATATTTAAAGCCTCCCGGTCATCTGTAAGACCTACAGTGCAAGATGATAAGACCTCAGGGCCATCCATAAGACCTACAGTGCAGGATGTTTTCAAAAAGCCTTCGAGAGCTTTTTGATATTTAAAGCCTCCGTGTCATCTGTAAGACCTACAGTGCAAGATGATAAGACCTCAGGGCCATCCATAAGACCTACAGTGCATGATGTTTTCAAAAAGCTTTCAGGAGCTTTTTGATATTTAAAGCCTCCAGGTCATCTGTAAGACCTACAGTGCAAGATGATAAGACCTCAGGGCCATCCATAAGACCTAAAGTGCAGGATGTTTTCAAAAAGCCTTCGGGAGCTTTTTGATATTTAAAGCCTCCATGTTATCTGTAAGACCTACAGTGCAATATGATAAGACCTCAGGGCATCCATAAGACCTACAGTGCAGGATGTTTTCAAAAAGCCTTCGGGAGCTTTTTGATATTTAAAGCCTCCGGGTCATCTGTAAGACTTACAGTGCAAGATGATAAGACCTCAGGGTCATCCATATTACCTACAGTGCAGGATGTTTTCAAAAAGCCTTCAGGAGCTTTTTGATATTTAAAGCCTCCGGGTCATCTGTAAGACCTACAGTGCAAGATGATAAGACCTCAGGGCCATCCATAAGACCTACAGTGCAGGATGTTTTCAAATGAGATTTTAAGAAACTGATTTTCAAAGGTTTCTTGATCTTAAATCCTTCGGGTCATCTGTAAGACCTACAATGCAAGATGATAAGACCTCAGGGTCATTCATAAGACCTCTAGGCAGAATGTTTTCAACATTTCCATCCTACTAAAAAAAGCCAAATGAAAAAATTATTATCTTTTTCGTCTTTGCTCTATTCTTGTTAACACAAGAATGAGCAAAGAGGGGCAGTTGTAGACACTAATTTTCCATTTTAAAATTATTATTATATTATTATTATTATTATTTTATTATTATTATTATTATTATTAAATTATAAATAATTACATATTACAGGCCCAATCATTTACAAACCCGAAGGCTCAGATCCTAGAAGCCCAATTCGGTTCAGGCCCAAACAATAACCCTAAACCTATTTAAGGTTTTTAAACCTTATTTTCAACGCCGCCACTGCCTTAGGTGGACCAATCAGCCCTACCGACGCTCCACTGCCAGGTGCTCCACTCCGACCATGCCACGACGTTGCCGCCTCGACGAAGCCTCCAGATGGTCGCCCACGTCGCAGCTATAGGGTGAGTCACCACCATAGTTTGGTTACTCACCGAAAGCCCCTCTTATACCCAGTCCGATGAGAGCCTCATCGAGGCTTATAAAAGCTGGCCACCTACAAAGAGAGAATGAGGGGGCGAAAACGAGAGATACCACGACAACAAGCAAACAACACAAACGGAGACCAACAACCACGAGGCAAACATAGAACAACAAAGCAACACCAATGACGAAAAATAACCAAGAGAAGAGGAATAGACTTACCATCATCGTCGGAGCCTCCACGCACCACCATGCGTCTCCGAAGCATTCGAAAACCGGAGGTATAAATCGTAGATTTGCTCCGATTAGGAGCTTTTTAAGGAAAACGGAGGTCATATTCGGCCATAGGAGGTCGAGATCTATATTCTAGGGTAATTTAGAAAATTTCGGCCATCATCGACGGTGGGCGGCGACGATGATCGACACCGAAGCACGGTTGTCGCCCGGCGACCGGTTTTCCTCCGACGAGGGAAACCTAGAGAGGAGGGACAGTATTTTGGCATCTCTCTATTTTAGAGAGAGATAAAAAAGGAAAATGAAGAAATTTGGCCCAAGGGGCCAGTTTTTAGGTTTAAATACCCTCCCCGAACGACGTCATTTTAGGGGAGGGGTGTTTGTGTATTTTCCCTCTAGGGAAAATCATGTCCTCAGCCACCCGAAGGTTGTAAACTTCCATTTTAGCCATTGAAATCAATTTATGTATGTTTTAATTCGGTCTTTCAATTTTATTTTCTTTATAATTTAGTCATTATTAGTATTTATATATCTATAGGGTAAATACCTATTTAGTCCCTTATAATTTGTATAATTTATACTTTAACCCGAATTAATTAATTATGAATAAATTACACTATTAGTACTTATTTTTTGTAATAATTCAAATTATAGCCTTTAATTTTGATATTTTACATTTTAGTCACTAATATTTTAATTCTTTTCATTTTTTATCATAAGTTTTATTACTTTTAAATTTAATCTTATATTTTTAATTTCTTTCAATTTGGTCACTGTTTAATTGCAATTTTTTATTATTACCCTATATATTTCAATATTTTAAATATGGTATTTAATTATTATTTTATTTTATATAAATATATTTAATTAAATAATAATATTTATTTATTTTTTATTAAAAAATGGGTTGTCTTAAAGTAACTAAATGTCCTTTTCAGATATTTTTAAATAAATAATATATTATATTTAATTTAGTTTTATTTAAATTATCATATTTTCTAATATTTATTTATTTTTTATTATCAAAGAAATGGGTTGTCTTAAAGTAACTAGATGTCATTTTCTGATATTTTTAAATAAATAAATATTTTATTTAGTTTTATAAATTATTTCAATATATATTTTTTTAGAATTATTCGATTGAATCTGAAATAAGAAGATCATAAATTAAATTTATATTCGAATTATTAAATTCTATTATTAGAGACAATTTATAATTAATGGGTACCAATTTTGGGAGTTGTGGGGGTGTTAATCCTTCCCCAAACGTAACTGACTACGAATCCCTTTTTATTACTAAAAAGAATGAATTTTTGGTTACACGCATACTGGTTTTTTTTAAATAATTTTTCTTAAAAACTCTTTTAAAAGATGATTTTTAGGTATTCGACCTACCTAACTCAAAAAGGTTGATGGTGACTCCAAAACATTTCATTAAAAACCATTTATTTATTCACATTACTTTTCCGCCAAAGAAAATTTGTGCCCGGTCGAAAACTGGTTACGACAGTATGCAATTTTTTCTTAATAGATACTTGTAAATTGCAATGTACTTTTTAGTTTATATATATGATTTTTTCTGTTGTATTTTTAATTTTAAAATAATATCTTTTTCTCGTAGAGATAATGCAAATGAAAACTTTATTAAAGGATTCAATTGATGCAAATGGAGTATTTTGAATACTGTTATATTGTGTTTTTTTGTGGTAATTTCTTCTCTTATATTCCTTTTAATTTCATTACTTGGAATAATATCATTTCATTTATTGTCTTTTATGTATTATTTGAATATAGTAGACAAATTATATTTTTTAAAAATCTGTGAGTAGTTACTAGTTAACACAGCTCTGATGAAGTGATGATGTTTAGTACATTCATATATAAATAAGATTGTATTACATAAGATTGAGTTAGTTTAGCACTTATAATTTTAACATTGGTTGATACTTAATAGATATATTTGATATTTATACTTTGATTATTTTTGTTGGTTTGAACTGAATTTTACATTTCTTTAGTTCGGTTAATACTTTAAAAAAAAAATTCAATTCGTTTAATGGTTAAAGAAAAAAAATTTGAGTAATTTGGTTAATAATATTTCGGTTCGATCAACCATCGTTTTAACCGAATCAACACTCTATTAAACACTTAAGGACACAGAGGATTTTAACATTCAAAATCATGGCGGAAATACATGTTCATAATTGTAAAAAAAAAAAGAAAAATAACATCATTTTCTTTTTCACAATAGTGACTCTAAATCCAGTCCACTGTAACACTGCAAAAGTGCCCATGAAGCCTAGTATAAAAGCAGAAGCAGAAGCCAAACAAACTAGGAATACTTAGTTCATAAACACATGTAAAAAGAAAAAAAATTCAAAAGGTCAAACATACTTTAATAACGAAGACGACGATGAAGGAAATGTGAAAGCCATTCGACCCCCACCGTCTTAGCGACCATTGTTTGTGCAGTCTCTAGCGAAATGCCCGGAACCTCCACAGTTGTAACAAGCCAAACCACCACCTCCGCCACCGCCCTGTCCACAATCCCTTGCTAAATGCCCGGACTCCCCACACTTGAAACACCCAGATCCACCACCATACCCACCTCCTCTTCCACCACCATACCCACCTCCTCTTCCTCCACCATACCCAGCCCCACCATATCCTCCGCCGCCACGACCTCCGCCACGTTCGGATCTAGAGGTTCCGCGAACGGGATCACCGTTGGGGCCAGTAACATCGACAGCCTTGGGGCGACCTTCATTAGAGTCGATAACGAACTCGACCTCTTCGCCATCAGCAAGGCTGCGGAAACCCTCGGAAAGGATCGAAGACTGGTGAACGAACAAATCGTCTCCGCCTTCGTTTGGGGTTATGAACCCAAAGCCCTTCTGGTCACTGAACCACTTCACCTTCCCGGTCATCCTACTCTCACCCATGTTTCCGGCGAAGCACTGATCTAAAAAACCCTAACCAAAACCCCACTACCGAAAACCAGAGAAAATGAGACGCAAAGGCTAGAGGGAGGCTGTGTGGGGAACTACATATATGGGGGAAATGAAAATGGTGATTGCCACGTCAACCTTGAAAATGAATAAGAGTAAACTATATGTTTAGTATCTTAACTATTATTTTTGTTTCGTTGTGGTCATATAATTATCATTTTTTTAAATCATATTTAATATTATATTTTGATTTCATTTTAGTCCCTTAATGTTAAAAAATTAACAAAATTACTAACATCATATTTTTAAAAAAATCAATGATGATATGGAATTATCGTATGGGTAACACATCAGCGTCACATTTAATTTTTTAAAGGCAGGTGATCAAAATACAACATTATGTATGATTTTGAAATAAAAAATAATTACATAACTAAAAAAATAACAGTTGAGGTATTAAACATATAATGTCTCCAAAATATAATGTTACTCTATGACATTCAAGAGACCGTTAACTAAAGTAGGGCTTTTATAAGAAAAAATTATAATAAAATAAAGACATAATGCAATAAAATAATTCTAACGTTTGACAGTGGTGTCAAACTTGCCCGTATTTTTTTTGAAACTTTTGACCACTTAACGTTTAGTTTTGAGTCAAAAACAACTAACATTGCATGATTTTGTTTCATTAAGTAACCAAGTAAGTAGTCTGGTTTGATGACAAAGTGAATTTCAGTTCATCCTTTAGACCCAGGTTTAAGTCTTTTCCCATGCATTTCACATTTTCATAGTTTCATTATATAAAAACCAATCACAGGGTGACGCATCATTCTTTGATTGGTAAGAATTAATTAAATATAAATAACAAATTTTATTTTTTTAAATCTGACTTGATAGTGCCACGTATTAATCACCATGAGCTAGACATCCACGTCAACTTTTCCCTCCAAGTGTGTGTGCCTTGTCAGCATCAGACGTTGACTGTCAATTGACTAACGGTTTTCATCCACTGTTGGTTTTTTTTACCCAAAACTAAACTTTGATTGGTCAAATATTCCAAAAAAACAATACGGCCAAGTTCGACACCACTGTTAAACGTTAGGATTATTTTATTGCATTATGCCCTAAAATAAACTAGGATTATTTAATTCATAGAATATAAGAGTTTCATCGAAATCCTATATTCTATAATAACATTTTTTTTCTTCATATTCTAACATGATTATAAAGTATTATTTATCTATTTAATATTTTTAATTATGAATAACATATTTTACAGATATAATTGCATGAACTCAATATTTAAAAAATAATAATATTTTCTTTTATCATTGACGCCAATTAATAAGTTCATAATCACATTTATTTAATACAAATACAATTATCTTAAGCTTAAACATAATATAAGTAATAATTTTAAATTTGTAATATAATGTTGATATTAATACCAATCCTATTAAAGAAAACCAATTAATTTTAGAAGAACCTTATAATACAGTGGAGATACGAGATTTTGATAATTTTATCTCTATTTTTATTAAGATAATTTTATTTTACTTAAACAAAAAATAAGAAAACAATAAAAGCTAATAAATTAAAGTCTTCTAGCATTAATTTTCTTTTGATTCTTCAACTATTTAATATATTATTCCAATAACATTTCAACTGTATATGTATATTTTGTTATTATTATAAATTGTTAGGAATTTTAAAGTAGAAAAGAAAGGAAATTGGGATCAACGTAGAATAATGTACGCGTAAAAGATATGATTTAATGTTCAATAAAATTGTCTTCCTCTATAAATAAGATAAACAATGATCAACTATAAATATAGGGATTATAAAGAACACAAATACATTTCTCGTGTATCTCAAAACTTGATATATCTAAAAAAAAATCTCTCAATACACTTATAAGATCTATATTTATAACGCCGATCCCAATAATTACAAATATATATAAAAAAAGATTACATGTCTCCAAGATAATAATCTATCATAATTCTAAGGTGAATACATGCTCTCTATTTATAAAAGAAAGCAAGCTTAGTCACCAAAAAATATTATTTCATAAGAATTTTTACCTAAAATATTCTTAATCATTAATTAATCTTCAACTACTAAATTTATAGCAAAATCCAACTTAATTGTCAAATATAATTTGAGTGTCAATACAAATTGCATTAGAAAATTGATCTTCAAATCTTCAAAAACTTTTATTTTATGTAAGCCAAATATCCTTCGAAGCAACACCATCAAATCTTTCACAAATTCAATTCTTAAGTAATATAAGTTGAAGTATCAATGGATCGATTGAGAATTATTCTTCCTAAAAATAAAAATGTGTTACAATAAAACTCTTCTTCCACGTCTCCAATTTCACTAACAAAATTCACAACAACAAATTCCTTTGGAACTCCACAGTTCTAAATAGCCCATGATACTACTTGTAAAGGATTCGAGAATTTCCTCCCGCTGTCTGAACTCTGAAGAGGACTAGTAATCATCTTTATCGCCCACAATTCAGCATTCAAGACACAGCAAATGCCAAAGTTTCGAGAAAAACCAAGTATCCAATCCCATGTTCGTTCCTCAAAGCACCACCAGCAGAAGCCGTGTTCATCTGTCCTCTAACAGCACCGTCGACGTTCGCCTTAACCCAGTTCTCAGCAGGTCATTTCCACCTTTCAACAGAAGGTGAACCACTCGACCACTTAGTCCAGATTCCATGTTTGCCATTATTTCATTTATAGGCCTCACACTTTGAACCAGTATATCTTCATGCTCAACATAATTTGGCTGAAACAATAGTTTACAACGTCGTTTCCAAATGTTCCAACAGATTATAGGAAATAGCACCTCCCAGTTTGAAATATTCATCACGAATTATTTCTCACATTAACCACAAGCCATCCTTCATTTGAAAACTCCATGAATTCCAGAAGTTCGTTTGCATCAACTACTCGACGCCATATCGCAAAAGCTGAAGGACATTTTCGAAGCACATGATCCATATCCTCATCATCATTTTGGCATAGGGAGCAAGTTGCAGAAGAGGCAAGATGTCGACGGTAACGTTCTCCATTGGTCAACAATTTTCCATGGAGAGCTAACCATAGAAAGGTTCTAATTCTTGTGGTGTTTTTATGCTCCAAACCTCCTTCCAAGGACCAGAACTAACATTTTGGTTCGAACATGTCCAAGCATTATATGCAGATTTCACAGTAAAAATATGGTTTACCTCCCAATTCCATCCAGGCGTATCCTTACCAAGCGTCAAGTTTGGTGGACAAATTGCTGCGATTCGATGGCAAATATGCTCCGGAATAGTAGCTTTTAAGAGTTCCCAGTCCCACTCACCAGAAGTCGTGGTCATTGAAAGCGCCGACATTGATGGTGGTTCGGTGGTAATTGTACAATGTGTTGCCAAAGGTCCTTGGCCTTCAACCCAATTATCATACCAAAAGTCAGTCCGAGCACCATTTCTGATATCCTAGAAAATACTTCTCCGAATGTCATCCCAGATACAAATCAAACCTCTCCATAATCTTGAACACCGTTGGCGATAGATACTTTCAGGTACATCACCACTTCAACGGTACTTGTGTTTTAGGCAGGGTCGGCTCCGGGTATTTTTTGGCCGTGACGAAATAAAAGAAATGAGCCCCTATTTATGTTCTTTATTTTTTAATCCGGGACAAAATAGAAGAAATAGGTTTATAGTTATGCAAAATATTGTAATAAATTAATAAGTACTATGAAAATATTATGGGCCTTGGGTGGGTGCCCCTCCTGTCCCGTCTCAGGGCCGGCCCTGGGCGAGTGCCCCTCCTGTCCCGTCCCAGGGCCGGCCCTAGTAATAGGACTTTTGTTAGCTCCTCCAACCAATTGCATTCCAATTTTCATAATAAATGATTTGTTCTCACTATTCAAATCTTTCATGCCCAAACCCCATTGCTCATTCGGGTCGAGAATTAGGGTTAACAAAACTCGATTTGAAAAATTAAAATTTTTAATATAATTCTAGAAAATTTGACTCGACTCGAATTTATTAATTAGTTATTAAATTGAATTAAATTATGATCAAATTGATAGAACTTATAAATATTGATGATCAAATATGTAATTATACCAATTTTATTAACTGTCACGTCAACACTTCCATTAAATGTTAACGACAATTAACTTAATTGAATGCATTTAAATAGTTGGATGCCCTGATTAAAATTTTTCAAAAATTGTGGTCAAAATGAAAAAGAGCAATAGCTAAGTGGTATAATTTACCCAAAAATTATGGAAAATAATGTAATTAATTTTTTATTTTGAATAATTTACCTTTAGATTTTTAACTAATTTATAATTATGCGTCGAGTCCTTTAATTTTTTTTTATAAATTAAATTAATGGTATTTATCGTTAGTGGTGCTCAGGGATACTCATCGAGCGTTGTAGAATTTTACTTAGTATAATTAATATATTAAACATATTATTTTAAATAATTTTCGTAAGTATCATATTTATTTATATAAAATATAATATAAAAATAATAAAATTATTATCTTGAGGAGATAAAGATATTATTTTTCGTTGTATAAGATTTATTTTTTAAATAATTTAAAATTAAATATTATTTTAAATAATTATTTTTTTCTACAATAATATCATTTTTCATCTCATAAAATTATAAAAGATTAATATATTATATATAAACAAATAAATAATTTTATTTACTCAAAATTATTAATATTTTATTAAATCAAACTCTTTGTATATTATTATTGTGTTTTATAATTTTGAACAAAAAAATAATCTATATAAAAATAACTCATTATTTTAAGGATATTTTAATCCAAAATAATAGAAATTATAAAACATCTAAGAATTTGAAAATAATATCATTCACACTATTTTAACTAAAAATATCACCATTAATAATAAATTATTACCCAATAATCTTTTTCTCAAATTAAAAGATATATAATTCCAAAAAGATTGCCCATCAACGTTTTCCTTTTATTTAGGAGGTTTAATTTAAAAATAAGTACTCAAAATTAATTTTAAATGTCTAAATAATTTTGTCGTTAAAAATAGGTGTATAACATTTTTAACGTTACACTTTAAGTGTATGGACTGTTAACACCGTTATATTTAGTCTTTAAGTGATACGTGTTATACATATAAAATTTTTAAAAAAATAAATTTTTATAAGCATGACACATATTAATTAATAGTCAAATTTTACGACAAATATTTAAAAATGTAATATCAAAACCATTAGATATCTATTTTTAATAAAAATTCTTATAACACTTAAAATTAATTTTGAATATAGTTGGTGCATTAAGCATATTTAGAACCCCAATGGATATTGAAGCCACTTTCTAGCTTTTGAATCACGGTATTGGAATGGGCTGAAGAAAACCCAGTTATCCCCTGATTTGTGGAGATAATGGCATGGCTGTAAAATTCCCCAAGTCGTGTTTGTGCCGCCGAAATTGGGTTTAAGGTGGCTAACGCATCCCTGCAAACGGTCACTTCCTCATTCCTTATGTGCTTGACTTGATTATATCAGTGGTGTCAATTCATTAAGGAAAGGGTATGTGTTAATTGGTCATCAATTTATTTTGTTTTGGTTTTGGAGCTAAAGAAAATGTCGTCCAAGAAGAGGAGAAGAAAGGAAGAGAAACCCACGATCCACCCAAAAAACAAATACTCCGATAACCCTCCCGATTTCGCTCTTTTGGCCTCTTTATACCCTTCCTTTAAACCCTTCGTCTTCTACAACCGCGATGGCCGGCCCAGAATCGACTGGACCGACTTCAATGCCACCCGTGAACTCACCCGCGTCCTCCTCCTTAATGACCACGGCCTCCATTGGTATTCTCCTAAGCTTCTCTCTATATGTTGCTTGTACTGTTTTGCTACTTGTTTTGAAATTGATTTGGGTTTCAACAGGTGGATTCCCGATGGGCAGCTCTGCCCTACGGTGCCCAATCGATCCAATTACATCCACTGGATAGAAGACCTCCTCTCTTCTGATATTATTCCCAGAGCTAACGGCAAAGGAGATGTTGTGAGAGGATTTGATATAGGGACTGGAGCCAACTGTATCTACCCTCTTCTTGGTGCATCGCTTCTGGGCTGGAATTTTGTTGCATCAGGTAAAATTTATATGGTTTCTCCATACTTTGCTTAATTATGATGTTTATAATCCTGCTATGTCTCATGTGGAATTCTGGGTTTTAATTTTAGACATTGCTAAACTTGATTGCAGATGTGACTGATGTAGCTCTAGATTGGGCAGAGAGAAATGTTAAAAACAATCCCAATATTTCAGAATTAATTGAGATTAGAAAAGTTAAATGTTCTCGAACCACCCTCACTCCTGAGGGTTTAAATAATGGCGAGCCTAGCTATTCTGAGGATGTAGAAGGTCTCCCGTCTTTTACGCTTGATAGGTTATCAAGTGAAGATAAGAGTTATAATGGACCTGCTGTACTTGTTGATGTCGTAAGGGATGGCGAGACCTTTGACTTCTGCATGTGTAATCCCCCTTTTTTTGAAAGCATTGAGGAAGCAGGATTGAATCCGAAAACTTCCTGCGGTGGGACATATGAGGAGATGGTCTGCCATGGTGGAGAAAAGGCTTTCATTACACGTATTATCGAAGATAGTGTTGTGTTGAAGCAGTCTTTCCGGTATCATTCTAATGGACATCTCCATCTCTTTTAACTTAAGTTGTTCCTTTCACATGATGCTAATCTTTATGTTCTAATTTTGTGCTTAGGTGGTATACTTCAATGGTTGGAAGGAAAGTGAATCTCAAATTCCTTACGTCAAAGCTTCGAGAGGTCGGAGTCACTATAGTAAAAACAACTGAGTTTGTCCAAGGCAAAACATGTCGATGGGGACTTGCTTGGTCCTATGTGCCTCCCGTGAAGAAAATAATTACACCTCATGTGACTGAAAAGAATATTCTCTCTTTCATGCTTGAGGTTTGGCTATTTTCTTTAGTTGTCTTAATAGTTCAAATTTCTCTCGTTCACTAGCTTATTTGGAGGTATTACCTAATGTGGGCCTTAGATGAATTATCTACATCGACTCACTGCCCTGTTTTTAAGTTAGGCCTTGTTGCAGCTTAAAATTTTAAAAAATACAACAAAAAAGACATATCTTAATGGTTGTGAGATTCAGTATTAGAATTTTAAAAGACATTAAAAAGAAATATCTGTACTAACAGTCATATTGGAATCAATCCAAGGTACAAATTAATTTTCAAATTTGTCGTGCACAGACTAACTAAAGTTTTAACTGTTTCGGTTGCTTGTATGGAGATGTAATTTAAATCTGTAGGTTTGTTTTTATTTATATGTTTGTATCACATGTTACATTTTATTTTTCTTAGCTTTATGACATTTCTCTATTGCACTTCTGTTCTTCCTAGGGTATTCAACGCCAGTTTAGTGCAATACATATACTTCAATCAGTTGAGTCCTTTTTCCAAGCTGTTGGAGCATCTTGTAAATTGAATGCCACTTCTTTTACGGTTGATGTAAGAAATATTACTTTCCATTTATCATAGTTTGCTTTGATGTTATATGAAATTTTGTTTTGTGCTTACATGCAGCACAATTTCATTTTAATAGATTACTGCATCATCTGAAGACTGCAATGCTCTCCTAAACAATGAAGTAAAGCATCGTGATGAAGCTTCTAGTTGCAGCAATGTAGAAGAGGCACCCTCAAACCTGTCTTTCCGTGTTTCGGTAAGGTCACATTCTAATTTCTCTTGAATTTAATGCATCCTGCGATCAAGACTCTATAATTGATTTCCATATCTGTTTACAGGTATTTCAGCAAATCCCAGGCACATTACTTGTGAAAGGATCATTACAGAATAGAGATAACCCACTCTCAGGTTCTCTCACTGTTCCCCTTTTCTTTACGAAACTCACTATTCTTCCTCTTGATGCTGTTGAAGCTTTCTTTACCATCAAAATATTCCTTATTCTATCAAGTATTAATTGGACATGTGGCCGATCACTTGCATAATGCTTCCTGTAATCTGTTGCCCGAAAACTGAGAAAGGGAAGTTGTTAAATTCTATTATCTTTACCAGAATAGGAGAATTTTCTGGCCAAGGTCAACTACTTATGCCTGGTTCAGTTGAAGTAGCAAGAAATAGAATGTGAAATTCTGGCTCAATTTCTTTTCTGGCATATGCTTTAAAGTTTTGAGAATCCACCTCCGTACCCAAATATTGGCCCTGTATTTGTTTTCAGTCTTATCTATTATGTGTGTTAGCCCATGATAAGTTATACTTTTTCATACTGTCTTCTTCAATCTTCAATTTTAGATCACGCCTCAAATACCATTAATGTGGACAATGAATCGTCTCTTCTTTTGCAGGATTGTTCTCCTCAATAATCCAACAGCTTGAGGCTTCCCTCAGACATAAATTTTGCAGAGAGAAGGCTGGCACCAATTATATATAGGCTTCTATTCACCCTATTCAGCAATGTAGCACTTAGATTTTAGGAACCATATCATCTCCTCCCATAAAACTGTCAATGTCCTATCTTTTAGAAGGGTTCGAAAGTCGAAACTCGCCTGGCCTTTTAAAGGCTATGTATGTACTTGCTACTGAGGCATGAGCATTATACATGCATGAAACTTTAAATTATTAACTTATAAGCATTTGAGTTAAAAATGTCTGTTTTCTCTCGCTCTTTTTGAAAAGTTAAAGGCCTATTGGCCATTAAAGCTCAAAAGGGATCTCAGCATTGCAGAAAAACCTAAAGCCGCAAGTATCAAAACTAACAAATCCAACAAGAATATAAATATGCAAAATGGTATAAACATTTGTACTACAAAGGATATCCAATTCCATGCTTGTAGAAATTAGTTGCAAGAGAAAATGCCAGAAATTAGTCTACCAAAGATGAAGAGAAAAACTTGAGAATAGCATCAACACTTGCCTTGGACCCTGGCGTGTGAGGCTAACACAAGCATCGACAAAATCCTTACCAATAAAATCTGTAGAGGATACCTGCAACTGGTCGGCACAACCATCGCAAAACACCAACTAATGAACAACCTAATATATCCATTAATTCAGCTGGCCACTGGTTTAACACATACAACAGGGTCATCTGGCTGTGCTGCCACTGTGTTCTCCACTCTATAGAAGAATTTCATTGAGGAAACTGGTTCAAATTGCTATCGAAATTTGTCAGATGGCAAACATGTGTCTATCCAATTGTCCTTCAGATATTTAGCACTCCAGAATGGAAATCCTGCTTCGGCTAAGGCGAGTTTCTTGGTTTCCAGTCACAGATAATTCTCTTCAGCAACAATTCTGCAATTGTTTTGCCATTCCGGAGGATCCAGGTGTTCATATTCAGTGCGGATCTAAAGAATTATGACCGCTGACAATGTCTAACAAGAACTCGATATCCTTTGTGACAACATCGACATAAGTTGGCAAGGTCCCATGGCACACACGATGATTTTCATTGACTCGCCTATACTTTGGTGCCCAGAACAAGCTGTTGGTAGACGTGAAAAGTTCGGCTTTGTGCTAAAGGCCGAGAGATGCACAAATTTCTGATCTAGACAAACATTATGATTTTATTTTACTGACTGTGTTCACTCTAAAATTTTATTTGTATTTATCTATAAACGAAAATTGTGATTTTAATATATGTATGTTTCAAAAATATTTTTGGATCTACCATTGATAGAGACACATGATCATGGATGAATATATATCGTCTTTGCTTCTTTGTTCATTACAATTGCACATTGAATCAATACTCAAAACATTATAGCAAATTCTAAAAAATAACAGAAACAGCCTTCAGAAAATGTAGTCATTACAATTAACCATAGAGTACACCCCCAAAATACGCCTCCGATACGCCAAATGAAGGCTCCTGATAAGAAATATGGTCTTTTGACACTAATAATCAGCTGCTAGTAAGATCTAACAGTGGAGGGAAACAATACTTTGTTGTGCAAAAAATTTGATCAAATTCTTCATCACAAATGAGTATAAAAACTTGAGTTTCGTAATGAGGGGACAACTGAACTTGTATTCGTGTTGACTGGGGTACCAAGGATCCATAACAGAAATGCATCTACACCAGAGATGAAAGTCGGTTATCATGCTTCAATCCCCACGGGAGCCATTGCTACTTGCGGAAGCTTTCTTACCGGTGTATTTCTATCCAAAGAGAGGAGATTGTTAGCTTTCAAGAAGACATATTTTGGAGACTTACCAGTTGCCATGAGAAATTAGAAGTACAAGCAAAAGGCATTTGCTGACATGACTGCAATTAGAAGAGTAGATTTTTCTCTCTTTTGAAGCTGACCTGCTTTCCAAAGCTGAATGGAATGTACTTGTATTTGATCATGTGTGCAATCTGACGCCTCATTGTAAGGAAGAAGAGAACAATCCAGTAGCAAAGCAATATAGGCCAAAAGACAGGAACATCAAATACTGAAAAGAAAGTCATGACAAATGCTATGCAGAAAGCCTTGGTCATGGAGTACCTACGAGAATCATAAAACAGAAAGTATTATCAACACTTAAAACCCGTTCATTAAGCACAAATTCATATAGATCTCAAGTATGATAACTAACGCCTCGGTAGTATCACATTTGTATTCTAGAAATAAAAATACTTTTCGAAGCTGATAAATAAAGAAAAAAGAGATTCTAGATTTTAAGGAACAGTGATATGTGTGAGATTGAGTGATTGAGCTTAATGAATTTGACAGATAATAGAAAATGTTTTCAAGCATATTCTCTTGCATTTCCAGAATCAGAAACTTCAAGAAGGACACCATTGTGCACATAATACAATAATGCTATAGAGAAACTATGTAGAATAAAAAAGTCTGAATCTTAGAATTTATAAATAGATCCATGTCTGAGAAATTTTTATGCTATCTTGCATTGCAATAAGTTAAGAGGAAAGAAAGCTCATAGCAAATCTTTCTAATAATTTCTTTTAACTATGTGACAAGATATAAAAAATCAAACACAAAAAGAAAAAGTAAAAAAAAACTAAGACCTTAATTTGAATTGAATACAAGCTACTATCATCATGTCCACAGTAAAGTAAGCCATCTTTAAGTTAATATCTCAAATCTGTCACAGACGCTCCACAATTTCCATAAATTATGAAAAGGTATAAAAGGCCTCGCATGGTAAATGATAAAGGGAATGTACTCATCTATCAATAGAATAAGACGGTGATTTTGACTTGGCCTAAATATGTAAATGAAACTTTAATAAATTGTTCCCTTAATAAACCAAATCACACAAACAAAAGCAAATGAACACCCCCAATAAATTGTTTATGAAACATATTAAGAGTCTAGAAGTGAAAAGCCAATAAATTCAATTACCAGAACTTAAACTCAGGTAGCCTACGAATAAAGGGCTTGAATTCGTCTGAACCTTTTGTTGGTAGTAAAGGCCCATCAGAAACATCAACTTCAGGATCAACCAGAGGAGACAAAAACCCAATTAGCAAATTCAGCAAGTAGATCCCAAGGCCATATGAAACTATGTAAAACCCTTGGACATAATAGACCCGCAAACAGTAGATAGCCGCTATAATAAGGGTTCCAATCCACCGATATGGTGTATGAGGAGTGGTCTTATCCAGATAATACTGATAGATCCTCCAAGCATCATGCCCCCATTGAGGCAAAGGTGATGAGACGGATGTGGCATCACCCCCAATTCGCTCCATTCAATATTAGCTTCAAATCATAGATCATAAGGGCAGAATCCAATCAATTAAACACAAAGGTCTATTGAATTCCCAAATACACATAAGTAAATACCCATAATTCCGATACTTCAATAAGAGCTCGACTAATCGGAGCACTACTAGCTATAAATCATATACTACCAATAAATCATCAGAATTCAACATGTATGATCACGTGCAGCAAAATACAAAGAAAAATAGCAGGTTATTATCAATCATTAAATGCAATGCAAAAGAAACCCTAAAATTATGTGCTTCACCAATAATTTTTCATAAAAAAATCTCATGCCCAGAATCTTAAAACGAAGCAAAAAAGAAAAACAAACAATCAATAATCCCAAAACCTTCCCTCAGCGTTCTCACCAACCAAACTAGAACCAAATGTTTGTAAAAAAAAAGAACTAAGCTTTGAAAAACACAGATCCCGAATTACCAGAACCCTAGATTTACAATCATAAAATCGTTGATAAATGAAAGAATCAAATATCAACATGATTGAATGCTTCAAAAGAAGGGGGGGGGAAACAAATATGTGAAATCCTTAAAAGAAATTAATACGAAGCTTTAAAAAACGCTTTAAATGATAAAATGAAAATCGTAGTAGAAAAAAGGCTGACCTCAAAGGACTCTCCGTTGTGAAGCTCCGGGAAATCGTTTCTCGGAATTGGGAGCGAGAAACGAGCAGATCTAATATGGATTGGAAATTGGCAGATAAATTTTGGTTTTCAATTAAATACATAAATCAATTGTTTATTTTACCGACAGAAGCGGCTGTTACAGTTATAGTTGTTTCCTCCGTGTTTCGCTTAATTATTCTAATATTACTATTACATTTTCATGCCAAATTTTGTATTTCAAAATTAATTTTAGTTACACTTAAATTTATACCACAATCGTTTGTATAATATTTTTAAAGGTATTTAGTCGTCCAATTATTCTTATAATTTTATAATTATCTAATTATTTTTTAAAGTAGTTATATTTAATTTTGGTAGGTGAATCTCTAATCAGAGATTTTTTACATATACAAAAATTCAAACTCGAGAATTACTTTAACGATATCAAATTGCTTACCACTTGAACAAGCAGTGTTGATTTTTGTAAAGATAAAAATGTAAAGGGAAAAATATTTGTCTTTTTCTTATATTTTCATCATTGTTACAAAATTAAAAACATTGGTGTAATCACCAATTTTCAAAATGAAAAGTCAGAAAAACAGCTTACCCACCACACCTGCTCCTATCATCCCATATTTCCTGAAGAAATTTACGCATGATCAATTTGTAATTATTTTATGTTGAAATTATGTAAAGTTTGGCTATAAAAGCCGAGCAAAATGTATGAAGAAGTGACAACAATAAATATACATAAATTTTTCAGTAATCCTAAGGTATTTTAGTTTATATTTTTGTTTCTTTAATTTATTTGTTCAATTCGAATGCAACTAATAATAGGAATTTTAGTTTGTAATTTTGTTCGTAGTTAACGTAAATTCAATGAGTTTTAAAAAAAATAATTAAAATAGAGATAGTGAGTTAAGTTACCTTGCTGCAGTACGTCGGAGTAGGGGTGTCGCCGTCGTTGAGTCTAAAGTCGAGTGGTCGGTATGGCTCTCGAGTTCACTTGAGATTTGGTCGACATGTTTGATATGTCGCGCTGGTGAAGGGAAAAAAAGGCAGAAGACTAGAAATGAAAAACTGATCTGGTTCACGTATAGAGGAAGAAAGGAAAGATATTAAGCTTAAAAGAATTTTGGTTAAATCACTTGTCAGACCACTAGTTTTTAGGAGCTTTATGTTTTGTTCACATATATTAATTGTTAAATCACGTAGAAGGTCCTCATGTTCAGCGTGTTTTGTGTTTTGATCCTATCAGGGTAAAATCCTTTAAGCTCCCTTATTTTATGCTTTTTGCACTCTGGTATACTTTGTTATGTGTTTCGAATATGCATATTTATTTTAATAATTTTTGAATTTAGTCACTATTTATTTTTATTTAGTTACTATCTTTTGTTTTATTGCATTTTAATCCATATAATTAGATTTTATTATAATTTAAGCCCTTGTATTTATTTTAAATTGATTATTTATGATCTTATTTGTTCATATTTATTAGGTCCTTCTAGTTCTTAACTATTTAATCCTTTAATTTTCTATTTGTGTTATTTTAGTACTTTACTTTTTTCCTTTTGCTATTTAATCCTTAAGTCTTGATTTTTCTCTTGCAGCTCTTTTATAATTAATTGATCTATGAATTTTAATTTTTTCCTATTTAATCTTGTTTTAATTTAATTTTTTTTCATTCCTTTTTATTTACCTTTTATATTTTATTTTTTATACTAACTATTTGTCTTTGTTTGTTTTATTTTTTTTACTTTATTCATGATATTTTTTGGATAATTTTAATCGATCAAAAGGTAAATAGTTATGATTGAATATTTAAATTTTAATTTTTGCAATTAAGACAACCGACAAATTAAATGGTACCGAAAGGGCAGTTCAAGGGTGTTAATCCTTTCTTGACTGTAATCGACTCTCGAACCCGTTTTCATCGAATCTTTGTAAATGCATACCAGTTTTTCGTCTTAAAAATAATTTTTCTTAAAATTGTTTTTGAAAGACGTTTTTAGGTATTCGACCTACCTAACCCAAAGGTCGATGGCGACTCTTTTTCAGACTCTATCCAATTTAATTCAAAATCACTGAATTATTCAAATTAAAAGTCGTAACTATTTTTTAAAAATAATATTTAATTGTTCCATCGAAAAATGGTTATGACAGCTTGGCGACTCTATTGGGGACATCAGGTAAGTGAGTCAGACCGAATTAATTTCCGGTTGTCTTTTTAAGCGAAAAATATAAATTAAAATATAAATTTATTTATTTGATTCTAATTATTTATCTTTGATTATTTTTCAAATAAATAGTTGTACTAACGTTTTTTCAATGATTTAAGATTTTCAAAAGTTTTCATCTCAGGCTCTATGCTCGAGCTCTGAACCCTTTTTAAGTGGAGGTGAAAGCGACGCCTTCGTGAGAACTTATTCTCCGCACAGGCCTAGCAAGTAGCCTTTGGGATTCATATACCTTATGTCTTCGTGTGAATTTATTCACCGCACAGACATAAGGGAATGTATCATCTCGAGTTTAACTTAATCCACACAAGTTTGTAATGGGCTTAGGACTACGGGTTTGGCTAGCCCAAGGGGGCACCAACAAGGAGAAATTGAGTACCTTCTTTAAAACATAAACCGAGAGACTACAAGGAGTTAGAGCTTACCCTAAAACCTCATTTCAAACCCTAGGCTATTTTGAGATTATTTCATACTTTATTTTATGTTCAAAGCATGTGAACTAGAAACTTATGCGGTTATGACTTGCTCAAAATTAACATGTGGGATAGAGATCATGTTCGGGTAGGACTAAAAGCATGTGGGGTAGATATAATGTGGGGTAGGATTTTTTTTCATTATTGTTTTGATTACTATCCTTACCTCACTAACTCTTTTCAATTTTGTTTTCTTTCATTTTATTTTTTTCATTTGCATCAATTAAAAGAGGTGTTGATCCACTAAAACATGTTCGTTAAACCTAAATAATTTGTATTAATAGACAAAGGGGTTGTAATACAAGAGGTGAAAAATGCAGAGGTCAGGCTATGGTCAGGGAGACAATCTGTAAGATAGTTCAACCAAGAAGACGTAGTACCCATAATCAAAAGAATATGACACATTGTTGCCTTATAAAGGATTCAGAACAGATCGGGATTTACACCGAACACATCAAAAGTTGACCTTCTGAGTTGGCAAAATTTGTAGGGGGCAAGACGAGAAAAATACTATTGATTTGGAGAGTCCCTTCAAAGACAACAAGAGAAGGATGGCAAAACAATAGCTAAAATTGAAGGCCATTGTTGACGAATTCAAGAAGCAAGCTAGTAAGGTTCAGATACTTCCTTTTCGATGGAGGGCTCCAATAACTTATTCGTCGGGAACAGGTTCAACCAAAGATGAAAGCCAAAGATGCAGTCATTCGAGACTTCTTGGAGCAAGTACAAAAAGCAGCTCAACACTTGCACAGTTTAGCCAGAGAAGCCGGAGTAATTCGACAGGGTGTTCAACCAGCGACAGACAAAGGCAGATGACTAGTCAACCTGTTAGAAGTCTAGAGGATTTAGTCAAAGTATACCTTTGATATTTTTGTCTCTTAAGAGATAAAATACTTTTGTCCCAATAAAGATTATTTATAATAACAGGCACGTTTTTGGATTAATGCCTCGAACATTTCATGCATCACGCATTTAAACATATTTTGTATTTTGTTATTTTCATTCCTTTGCATTCGCATTAACTAACGGAAGAATGTCTCGTCAAAAGGAACACATACTGGATACACCACCTCAAGCGTTGGACACACCCCATCCGCATAACACCCGCTTGAAAAAGAAGAAGATGGAAGCAAGAATCACTCAGATCGAGGAAAACCTGTTGAAGCTGCAGAGAGAGTTGGAAGACAAGATAAACCAGAACAGTCAAAATACTCTAGATACAATCACAAAGAACCAAGAGTCCTTGGTTGATCAGATCGTTGCCAAGTTAGTTGGCCTACAACAGACCAGTGCGCCTGGGGCAAGTTCACCGGAAGGGGTAACTATACCACTTACCCCGCAAGTTATTCTCTCACCTGGAATATTACCGGAACTTCAAGGGGACTCATCCGTTGCAAAGGCGAAGACCCCATCTGATGCAAAGATACAGACTGTTGTATTTAACCCTAGGAATAATCCGGGTTATTACCATATACCGGATTTGGACGAAGAGGACAAAGCAAAGAAGATGGAGGAGAAAATCAAGCAATTGGAGGACCAAATGAAGGTAGTTAAAGGAGACCATGGCTACCATGGAGTCGATGCCGCAGAACTCAGTCTAGTCCCAAACTTGGTTCTTCCTCCGAAATTTAAATCCATGGAATTCGAGAAGTTTGACAGGAACAGTTGCCCATCTGCCCACATCACCATGTTCTGCCGAAAGATGACAGGATATAGAGGAAATGACCAACTTCTGATCCACTGCTTTCAGGAGAGTCTATCGGGCTCGGTCATCCGGTGGTACAACCAACTAAGTCGATCCCATATCAAGACTTGGAAGGTCTTGGCCAAGTCATTTTTGGAACAATACAAGCATGTCAATGACAAAAGGCCCGATCGAGTTATGCTACAAAGCATGGAAAAGAAGCATAACGAGAGTTTCAAGCAATACGCACAAAAATGGAGGGACTTGGTTGTACAAGTTCATCCACCTTTGGATGAAAAGGAAACCCGAAAGCTTTTTGTACAGACCTTGAAGGCTCCATACTTCGGACACCTGGTTGCGATCACATCAGGAAGCTTTTCAGACTTGGTTATGGCCGGAGAAATGATCGAGTCAGCCATAAAGCAAGGCAAAATTAAGGATGGGGAGGCCAGTAGGAAACCTCCCTATGCAAGAGATAGATGAAGAAATTAACAACATCAACCATGTCAGTAAAGGTGTTACAATCTCCGAACCAAAATCAACTGCAATTGTACCGTCAGGTACTTCTAAACAAGATTCCAGAGAACCCAGGAAGGAAAGGGAATATTTCGACCCTATTCCCATGACCTACAAGGAGCTTTACCATCAACTTCTTGACATCCATGTAGTGTCATCATACCCGGTAGAACCCAT